CAGCGTTTAAAGAATTGCGCCATCGCCCAGTGGAGGAGGTGGAATTCGCAGGAGACCCAGCTTCTGCAGAGCCTCGTCCTGGAGCCCAGCAGCTGCGACAGAGAGGGCCGTGGGATGCACAGGGCACTGTCGGGAGGGCTCCGGAAACTGCCTCGGATGTGCGGGTGGGGGTGCCTGGCACGGACCGGGAGGTGTGGCGACTGCCAAGCTGCCCACGGGCTTCTGCCCAGCATCATTTGCAGTTTTTTGTTTTATTTACTCATGTTTTTCCCCCAGTTCTGGGCCTTGAGCCCAGGGCCTTCACAGTCAGCTACATCCTCACCCTTTCTATTTTTCATTTTGAAACAGGGTCTTGCTAAGTTTGTCATTCTCCTGCCTCAGCCTCCTGAGTGCTGTGATCGCAGGTGTGTGCCACCACGCCAGCTCCCCCAGAGCCCCCTCTGGGATGGCAGTCAGCCGACCGTTCCCACGCTGACCGAAGCTGCTGTGGAGCGCCACGCTGAGGTCTGACCAGGGCTGCCGGAGCTCCCTGCAGCAGTGGCGGGTTGCAGTCTCCACCCTGCCTCGCCTGCTCCTGGTGCAGCTGGAACTGCTACCACTCCTTGGCCTGCGCCTGCAGTTCCATAGCCACAGCGTTGCCTGGCTGCCATGGAACAAACGGAGGCCGCTGGCCGCCTCTGCCACCTGGGGAGATCTCGGTGTCAGGCGAGCCTGGCCTCCTGGCCACACAGCAGAGAGGGTGGACGGGGCACCATGCCATCCAGGGTGTGGAGGGACGGAAGGGGACCCAGGGCTGTGGGCAGCAGGAGGCCGGAGAGGATTCTAATGTGTGGACTTCCCAAGATGCCGGCTTCCGGGCCAAGGTCTTGGTGCCCACAAACTCTCAGGTTCTGTCTGGATTTTGGAGTTCAGAAAACCCCCAGACACCTCCGCTGCCTCATGGGAGCAGGGCTGCCCAGCCCTGTCCTGAATCGTCTTTGTGGCTTTCACAGTTCAGGGTTTCTCAGTGTGGATTTGCTCCCCTCTCTCTAGCTTTTCGGTTTGAGGGAGTTTGGGGTCACTGAGTGCTGGAGCCCGGCCTGGGTTTCAGTTCTCTGTACCCTACGGAAGTGAGTGTTGAGTACTAACCAGAAAGCAGAGGTGATTTTCCTCAGGGTACAGCAGTGAACTTTGATGCTCTGTGTTCTTTTCATGAATGATATGCAGAGAATGACTGGGTTCTTTTGTGACCAGACTGTGTTGGTTTTGATGTTCTCATGTGCACAGTGAAGATTTTCTGTGTGCTGTTTTTTTTTCTTGACCTGTTTTCATTCATGATTAAAATAGTTTTCCAAACTCTGCAATGCCATTTGGACGCAGCTGTGTACTTTCATTTCACTTCTGGGATTGTTGATGGGAAGAGCTGAGCCCAGGGTGGTGGAGGAGAAGCCACCCGACCCTTGCGACATCAGTGGGACGTTTCATTGGCAGCCCAGGCTGGAAATCCCGGCTGTTTCCCCCTAAGCCTCCCACAGCTCTGCGTGGTGTTCAGAGAATTTCTCACTGCTTTCCCTCATTCCACGTGCACCTATGTGAATGGCTTAAAATAAAACAGTGGATCCCAGCACGCTCTGACCAGCAGTGGAGTGACTCTGGTCCTGCATGGTGGGGAAGCTGCCTGGCCTCCCTGCACCTCATGTCCTGCAGCACCCAGAGCCAGCACCTCGTGAGGACACTGGGCTGTTTCCCTGTCTTGGCTACTGCGAATAATGCTGTGATGGGCACAGGTGCACCGATACAAAGTGTAACTGAAGAATACCATGAATATTTAAATGAAAAATAGCTATTACATCCAGGGGTGGTGATGCATGCCTGTAATTCTAGCACTGGGCAGGCTGAGGCAGGGGGATTACCTCGAGTTCAAGGGAGCCCGAACTACATAGTGAGACCCTGTCTCAAAAAAAAAGTTATTACAGTAAAAGACACATTGCTGTTGATCACCTCAAAATCCTCCCCCTCACTTCAAACACACTTATCCCACCTTTCTTGCCACCTTCTGAAGCCCTCTTTCCTGCGTGTCACTAGAACATTGCATTTTTGCAGGAAGAGCAACAATGGAAGAGCCTGCAAAGTTTTGGCTTTGGAGAGCTTGGTTGCTAAAAGATTAGCATTAAAAAGAAGCTAACTACTTTGCATCAGGGCAGTAGGAAGGGTACCTTGAGAGTACCTCAGAGAGCAGCCAGACCCCACTGTTCAAATGCTCAAAGGTGCAAAACCATGAAGCTTTCATTTGAGAAGAGAGCCGCTGGGCTTCCTCCTCTAGAAGGACATCTAGGGAATTGGGTCCTAGGGAACTGGTTCCTTGGAATTCATTCACAGTGCTCAGCTGTCCAGAGGCCTCCGCATCCATGATCCCAGGAGGCCTGACTACTGCTCGAGTTGGTCCCAGACCTTGGCATTGTCCATGTAATCCTGTCCTTGTAGGCATGCAGAAGGCAAGAGTTGTTGGGTCATGGAGGCTTCCATGCAGGTTTTAGAAGAAGCCCTGGGAGGCAGGGCAGTGTGCCCCCAAGAGAGCAAGAAGCTGGGAAAGTGAAGCTGAAAGCTCAGTGGAGACCCCAGGATGTTGAAGAAGTAAAATATGTGGAACATATGCTGAGGAAAGTTGCAGGCAGTGAGCAGAGTCACACCAAGAAAGAGGCCGTGAGGATTGCAGCCAGCAGTGCCACTGGGGCAGAGCTCTCTGGAGCTCACATGTCACCACAGCCTGCCTGGGTGCTGGACACTGGGCTACAGGATTTAATGTTTGCCCTGCTGGGTTTTGGTCTTGCCTTTGTCCCCTTCCTTTCTATGCCCCTACTTCTCCCTTTTGGAATGGGAATGTTTACTCTGTGTCATTGTATGTGTCTAACTTTCTTTTTTATTTTTATAGGGGTTCATGGCTAAGAGTTTGCCTTGAGTCTCAGAGGAGACTTTGGACTTGAACTTTACAGCCATGGCTCTGTTACTCTGGAGCTAGGTCTGCTCAGGTTCTGTGTCTATGGTTTGGATCACATGGCTTTTTTTGCTGTAGAGTTGATTGAGTTCTAACATATTTTGGAATTAACCTCTTGTCTGATATGTGCTTTGCAGATATCTTTTCCAGTCAGTTGGCTGTCTCCCCTTGATGGTTTCCTTTGTGTGCAGAGCCCTTGTTCCACTGTTCATTTTGGGCTTTGCCACCTGGCCTCTTCATGAGGACCCGAAAACCCTGGCCCAGGCCAACGTCCAGGGCTTCTCTGCCTTCTGGGGTTTTTATAGGCTCAGACCTTCTGCTTAGGTCTTTAGAAATTTTTAGCTGATTTTTGTATGTGGTGTAGATAAGGGTCCACATCGCTCCTCTGGGTGTGAAAATCCAGTTTTCCTGAAACTGTTCAGAGATGAGAATTCCTTCCTCACAGCATGGTATCTTCTTGGTGGCCTTGTTGAGAGTTAGCTGACCACTTGTGCTTGGGTTTATTTCTGGGCGTTCTGCTATGATCCTTGGCTCTGGGTATCTGTTTTTATAAAGGAATGAATTTTCAGTGAGCATAAAATTTGAGCTGGGTGCAGTGGCACAGGCCTGTAATCCTGTACTCTGGAGGCAGAGGCAGGAGGATTTTGAGTTCAAGGCCAGCCTGGGTTATATACTGAGCTCAAGGGCAGTGTGGACTACGTAGTGAGTCCCTGTCCCCCACACCCCCCATAAATGAAACTTCTTCTAGCTTGCCCCCTGTCCCTATTGCCTGGTCGTGCCAGTGGCTCCTCTCTTCCTCAGCCCATCTTCCTGGCTTGCTCTCCTACCTCAGATCTGAGTCCTTGCTCTCCTTCCCCGGTCCCAGGTGACCTTCACAGCCTCTTTGTGGGCTCTCGATCTACAGTCATGCCGTGATGTTGCCAGGAGCAGGTGCCCTGTTCCTGAGAGCCTTCTGGATGAAATTCTGTGACAGAGGCCAAGTCCTGGCTGCCAGGCCCAGCTTTTCATGCAAGGTGTTGGAGCCATTTTCCCCCACTGGGACACAACTCAAAACCTAAAGGAGGAGAAGTTTATTTTGGTTCCTGTTTCAGTCTGTGGTCTGCTGGCTCCAAGGCAGGAGGGGATGGAAGGAAGGGCCTGGGGGGAAGAAGCTGCTCAAGTCTTGGCAGCAGGGAGCAGAGGGAAGGCAGGAGCCAGGAGGCCCCTTCCAGGGCTGCCCAGTGACCTCCTCCAGCTAGCCTCGGCCCCCGCACAGTTGTGATGAGCCTGCTGGTGAGCAGTGCCCACTGCAGTCACCTTCCTCAGGAGCCTCGGGGACATCTGAGGTGAAACCTAGCCTCAGCCATGTCCCCAAGGCCTTCTGTCGACCCTCTGGGGCGGGTGCCATCCGCGCTCACAGGTTGCAGAGAGGGACACACAGGCTCAGGGACGCTGGCACTTGTAGCCCACCTTTGTGGACGTCAGCATCCCTGAGGATGCAGTGAGGCCGGGTCCGCAGTGCCCCAGAGGAGGGAGTGGCCTCGTGTCCATCCGTGCATCCATCTGGCCCTTAGGGTCGGCAGGATGCTTCTGGTCTGGGGCCTGCCTGGCGGACACCAGGTCTCCAGGTGGACTAGGGATGGAGGATCTGCATGTCAGGAGGGAGTCTTGGCCTGGGCGGGAAACTGTGGCTGGCTGCACCTCCCTGGGGCGGGTGGGCCTGGTCACACCCAGGGGCCCTCCAGCCAGCCCCATCTGCTGCCCCTCCCTTCCCTGGTCAGCAGCAGGGACCCCAGGATGGCTGTGGTGTCACAGGGACCTGCAACAGCCCCAGGCCTGTTCCCCACCCAGGGCTCAGCAGGGCTGCTCGGCTGACACAGGCCCAGCCCTGAGGGCATGGTTGGCACAGCCTGGAAAACCCAGCTGGGCCGTGCTGGCTCAGCCCTGCCTGTGATGCAAGCCCTGGGCCCACGCTGAGCCACATCCTCCCTGCGCTGCAGGCTGGGGCCAATATAAATTGGTGTCATTTCCTGCCCGCCACCCTCAGCCTGGTGTCGGGGTGAGTCCTGCTCTTGCGGCAGGGTGCACGGGAAGACCGACAGGGTGGCCAGGCCGGCCGGGAGCCTGTCCCGCTCCTGGGCTCCTCCGCTCCCGCAGTCCCTGTCCCCTTCGGTGTCAGGAGGGCTGTGTGACGGGAGGTGACGCTGCTGCTGACAGCTCGGGTCCCTGGAGGAAGCAGTGGGGTGCCCGGAGGGTGGAGCCTTGGAAGAGACCGGGCGTCAGGGTGAGGACGGCCAGGGAGGGTCAGGGCACCGCCTGGACCCCCGAGCCGAGCAGAGGGCTGGGCTCCTGAGGGGCTGGCGACGCCCAGCCTGAGCGGCTGGAGGGCCCAGCCTGAAGCCTCGCAGGAGGTGTCGCCACCCCCAGCCCTTCCTTCGCGCCTCTGCTGGTGTCCCTGGGCTGAGGCGACCCTGCTGCCAAGTCCAGCAGAAAGGATCAAGGAGGAAGCGACTCCGACAGAGCTGGCCAGCTCCTCCATCCAGGCTAGGAGGGGCACGGCCACAGACAGAGCCCGTGACACTGGGGTGTGTTCGCCTTTGGCCGTCTTTCTTTCTTTCTTTCTTTCTTTCTTTCTTTCTTTCTTTCTTTCTTTCTTTCTTTCTTTCTTTTTCATTTTTGTGGTACTGGGGATGGAACCACTTTTTATTTTGTATTTTGAGATAGGGTTTCTCTAAGTCACTAAGCTGCCCAGGCTGGGCTCAAACTTGCGATCTTCCTGTCTCAGCCTCCAGAGTGCTGGGATCACAGGGACAGCTGGCTTATTTCTGTCAGACCCCAACCGAGGTCCAGACCTCGGGCCTACATCCTGGCCCTGCTCCTTCCGCGCTGCACAAGCTGTGGGCTGGGACTCCGTCTGGCTGAGGCTCAGGCTCTGCCCAGAGTGCTGCTGGCCCTGAAGAGCACTGGTGCCAGTGAGCGGCCGGGGACTGCGGGCCTCGCGGGAGTGGCAGGCCATGTGCGCTCAGAGCTCTGTGTCCCGGGGACCAGGCCTCGTCAGCGCTGTCCGCCTGTCCACAGTGCTCCTCTCTGGCCTCTCTGAGGCGCCGTCCTCTCCAGTCAGGACAGTGTGGGCTGGGAGGGCCAAAGGCGGCTCTTCCGCCTCTCGGTCCCCACAGGACCACGAAGGTTTGGGGGTCGGCGGCAGGCGCAGTGCGGTCCGCTCCGATGGGCACAGAGCCGCTGTGCATGGCTGTGCTGCTTGCTCTCTCCTCAGGGCTGCTCTTCCTCCGGGGCTCGGGACACTCCGGGCAGGGCTCACTTCCTGGTAAGCACTCGGCTCGCTTTTCAGAACGGAATGGTGGCTCATGATGCTTGACTGATACGTTTTCCTTTGAGTTTTCTGAGTTTAAAATTTTTTAACTTCACCGGGTGTGGCGGCACCTGGCTGTAATCCCAGCACTTGGAGGCTGAAGCAGGGGCTCGCTCTGAGTTCGAGGCCAGCTGGAACCACCTAGGGAGACCCTGTTTTAAGCTGTGACTTGGAATTGTGCATGTTTATAGGGCGCCCTGTGATGTTTCTCCATGTGTAGAATTTGCTGACTTTGATAACTCAGTTCTCCCTGAGTGCAGAAGTTTTTGTGATACTGGGCTTGAAGCCAGGGCCTTTGCACTGAGCCACATCTCCAGCCCTTTTATATTATTTTTATCGGACAGGGTCTTGCTAAATTGCTAAGTTGCCCAGGCTGGCCTCAAACTCGCCATCCTCCTGCCTTGGCCCCTGACTGCTGGATCCAAGTCCGCTGCCCCTCGCCCGGCTGAGCGGAGACTGGGAAAGTCGCTCCTTACCCGGATGCCTGGGACCCCAGCGTGGCACTGAGCCCCGGCCCTGCCTGTTGCTGCCGAGGAACATGGCCAGCACCCGCTGCAGGCTGGCCGGCTACCTGGAGGACCTCGACTGCTCGGACTTTAAGAAGTTCAAGATGTACCTGGAGGACTACCCCCCGCAGAGTGGCTGCACCCCACTCCCCAGGGGCCAGACAGAGCGGGCGGACCACATGGACCTGGCCACTGCCATGATCGACTTCAATGGGGAGGAGCAAGCGTGGACCATGGCCGTGTGGATCTTTGCAGCCATCAATAGGAGAGACCTGCATGAGAAGGCGAAGCGGGAGCAGCCGCAGTGGGGTGAGTGGATGGGCAGGCCAGACACGGCTCCTAGTGTGCGAGCGGGCATGCAGGGGAAGCGGATCCACACATTGCACAACCCGTCTCCAGAGCTCTCTGCATCTTGCACAATGGAAACCCCGTAGTGGTCCTGCCAGAGCCCTGTGACCTGCTCTCCCTGGCCGGGAGCCAGAGGTCTGGCTTCTGCTCCCTGTGCTCGCTGCTGCTTGGCTTCCTCTTGGAGGGCACCAGAAGCTCTGTGTGGCCAGCTTGTGTCAGGCGGCTGCCCCCCAGGCTCCTGCACACACGGGGCCGTCGGTGTCTCCTCCTGTGGGAGTCTGAGTGCCTTTCCCTGTGCACGTGCGAATGCCACGTGCAGCTTGTGTCCACACGTGGGCAGACACTTGTGCGACCCCCTGCTGCTGTGAATAGTGATGATGTAAGCCTCGGCGTGCAAATGTCCTGTGCACACCCTGACTCGGGCTCTTTGGACTTTATGACTGGGTGTGGAGTTGCAATCCTCAATCTAAACATTGTGAGGAACTGCCAGGTGATCTTTTTATAGCAGCTGCACAGTTTTCTGTTCCCGCTCACAGTGCACAAGAGACTTCTTCACATCCTCATGAGCAGCTGGTGCTTTCTGCTTTTTCAGAGCAATCATCCTAATAAGTAGGGGTGGTGGCTCACTAGCTCTGCTCTGCATTTCCTGATGATCGGTGCAGTGGAAATCATTTTGTGGGCTTCCTGATCACTTGCCAGCTTCTTTGGAGAAAGATCTACTGAACCCCTTTCCACTTCCTAATTAGTTTTTGCGGTTGTTGACTTGTAGTGTTCTTTATGCATTTTGGATGTTAATTCCTCATCGGATGTATGACTTTCTTCCATGCTGTGCACCTCTCTTCATTGTTAATTGTGTCTTTTCATGCTCAGAAATTAGTATGCTTTACAAATCATTTCTTGTAGCATCTTGCTTTTTCTTTTGCTTCCTCTCATGGTTGCGCTATGAGAAGATGGAGGGAAGCAGTTTGCTTTTCATACCTCCTTACAAAGCCCAACTCCAAGGTGACCAGGGACCAAGGGCTGCGGATCTGTCCCATCCCTGGTGTGGTGCTGGGCTCCTCCAGCTCTCTACTTCTCACCCCTGAGTTGCCCAGGCTTGCTTGTCTGGTCCCCCACCCAGAGTCACTCTTTTCCACGGCTTAGAAGGAGTCCCTGACCCTAGAGGATTATCCAGGTCATGGGTAACGCCTGATGGCCACCACTGTGGGAACGGAAACAGGGCAGGGGCGATCCTTAAACTCAGAGTGCACATTGTGGTGAGGGTCTTCCTTCCACACCAGGAAGGCACAGAGCTGCCTGGAGAAACAGCATGGTGATGGTGAGCCAGAGAGGGTGGGAAGGAGGAATCGACTCAGGTTGCAGACAAGGAGCTGTGTGGCAGGGCAGGGGATGCAGGGCGCGATGGGCAGGAGGCGATGTGGGGAGGGGGTGGGCAGCAGGGACCTCAGGAGCACACATGCCCAAGCAGGCGGTGCTGACAGCGCACACGGCCTCCTGTCACCAAGCAGTGTACCACCTCAAGCCCCTGAGCGTTTCTCACCATGTCCCTGCACTCAAGTTGTTCAGTGAACCTGACAGGGCTGTCTGCCCAGGGCCCCTTCAGGTCAGTGACACAGCGGGTGAAGCCAGAGGATGCCTTAGCCCCAGTGCCATGTTGGTGCCTCGCTGGGCTTGAGTGGAAAGATTAGAACAAGGTTTCACATTTTGTCCTGGGCTGGGGCGAGACTTCAGATCACGTTTGTTGGGGCTTTGTTTGGGTTTTTGTTAGGATTTGCTTTGGGGTTTCTGGGGAGCAGAGTCCCTGAGTCATTTCCGCTGCTCCGGTCCCTGCACACCTGGAGCAGCCTGACGGGTTCCCGGGGCTGGCTGCTGTTCTGTGTTCCCCAGGGCCAAGCCCTCTGGGCCTCTGGCATCTGCTGATGTAGGTCCATTTTCTCATCTGTGGGTCGTGTTGGGGTCACGGGGGGCTTTGAATGTACGGTGGTCCTGAGCTACACTTCATTTGGTTGTAGAAGAATCTCCAGGGCTGGAGGTCAGTGTTCTGCCCTGTAAAGCTTCCTGAATGAATCTAAAGTCGGCCAGGATTAGGAACCATAAATCAGAGATAAAATGGACTGGGATCCTCATGCTTTTGATTATAGTTTCCACAGAGCTTGGGTGGGACCCAGGCCTCACGCAGGCTGAGCCAGGTCCTCCCCAGCAATAGGACTCTTGGCCTGTTGGCTGGGGAGGCCTAGAAATCTTGGTTGGAGAGCACAGACGCGGGCTCTGAGGCAGGGAAGGGTGGCCTTACTGGGCCTGGCCTTCTCGAGGGTCCGGAGATCTTGGGGAGGTCTCAGGATTAGGGTCTGGGGCTGGCCACAGACAGCTGATGATGAAGATGCTCCCTGCTGATTGACTTTGGAACTGGGAAGGGGTTTTGCCGCTGGATGTGTGTGCGTGCACGCACGTGTGTGCTGTCCCCACTCCATAGAGTGCAGGACACGCCGGGGGCCTCTGCCCATGCTGCTGTCACCTGCCCTGGGAGCCATGTTCCCCTGGGAGTTTTCCAGGCCTGGTGCCTTTGACCTGTGTCCTCTGTGATAAGAATTCAGGTTTCTGAGCCGGTTTTTCTTTCTGTGTTCAGATAACCCCACAGTGGAGTGCCGGGAGGACAGCATTGAAGAAGAGTGGATGGGCCTCCTGGGCTTCCTTTCCAGAATCTCCATCTGCAAAAAGAAGAAAGGTGAGCTGTTGGTGGCACTTGGACTTCCAGTCTGGGGCCCGCTGGGCAGGTGTGGGGGCAGAGCAGCTGCAGCTGGGTCTCCCACCTGCTTCCCATCTGGGGTGCAAGGCCCGGCCAGCAGAGAGGTGGGTCCTGGGCGGGGAGGCCCAGAGTGAGGGCAGGTGCTGAGGGCAGGAGGGGGTGGCTAAGGGAGGGCTCCCCCTGGGGCTGCGCTTGCAGCATTGGCCTCTGCTCAAGGAAGATGGGGCCCTCCACAAACAGGCAGTGGACAGAAGAGGCCCCTTCTGTCCCTCTGTCCCGATTGCCACCGCCTCTGGCACTGTTCTGCTGCCGTGTTTAAAGGAGAGCAGGCCGCTTTGATACAAATTTGCTTGTCTGACACCCGGACCCATTGGCAGTGTGCACGCACATGGGAGGCGTAGTCTCTGGCTGTGGGCCACACACGTGTGCCTAGTGCTCCTGGATCTTCCCTCCCGATGCCTGCAGAGAGCCAGCCCTGTTCCTGCCCAGCTGGGCGTGACTCTCTGTGTGGCTGCAGATTTTAGCAGGACGTACAGACGGCACGTGAGGAGCAAGTTCCACTGCATCGAGGACCGGAACGCACGTCTAGGGGAGAGTGTGAACCTCAACAAGCGCTACACACGCTTGCAGCTGGTCCGGGAGCACCCCAGCCGGCAGGAGCGAGAGCGAGAGCTGCTGGCCATGGGGGGGAGCCGGCTGCGGGACGCCCCCCCGGGCCCCCTGAGGCTGGAGTCCCTGTTTGACGCCGACCCTGAGGATGAGTCCCTGGAGCCGGTGCACACTGTGGTGGTGCAAGGTGCAGCCGGGATCGGGAAAACCATCCTGGCACGGAAGATCATGCTGGAGTGGGCGTCGGGGAAGCTCTTCCAGGACAAGTTCGACTACCTGTTCTACATCCACTGCAGGGAGGTGAGTCTCGCCACCCCCCGGAGCCTGGGGGAGCTGATTGCCAGCTGCTGCCCGGACGCTGGCCCCCCAGTGGGCAGGATCGTGCGTAAGTCCTCCAGGGTCCTGTTCCTCATGGATGGCTTCGACGAGCTGCAGGGTGCCTTTGACGAGCACACCGGGGCGCTGTGCACGGACTGGCAGGTGGCCGCGCGCGGGGACGTGCTGCTGGGCAGCCTCATCCGGAAGAGGCTGCTGCCCCAGGCCTCGCTGCTCATCACCACACGGCCGGCCGCGCTCGAGAAGCTGCAGCACCTGCTGGAGCGGCCACGCCACGTGGAGGTCCTGGGCTTCTCCGAGGCCCGGCGGAAGGAGTACTTCTTCAAGTACTTCTCGAGCGAGGTGCAGGCCCAAGCGGCCTTCTCGCTGATCCAGGAGAACGAGGTGCTGTTCGCCATGTGCTTCATCCCCCTGGTCTGCTGGATTGTGTGCACTGGGCTCAAGCAGCGCATGGACAGCGGCGAGAGCCTGGCCCAGACCTCCAAGACCACCACGGCCGTGTACGTCTCCTTCCTGTCCTGCCTGCTGCAGGCTCGGGGTGCTGGCCATGAGCACCAGCACTCTGCACCCCTCCGCGGGCTCTGCTCCCTGGCTGCCGATGGCATCTGGAACCAGAAGGTCCTGTTCGAAGAGAGCGACCTCAGGAGCCATGGCCTCTGGGAGGGGGATGTGTCCGCCTTCCTGAGGATGAGCCTGTTCCAGAAGGAGGTGGACTGTGAGAAGCTCTACAGCTTCATCCACATGACCTTCCAGGAGTTCTTCGCCGCCATGTACTACGTGCTGGGAGAGGAGGAGGGGGCGGGCCCAGCGGGGAGCTGCATGGAGCTTCCCAGCCGGGATGTGGCTGTCCTCCTGGAAAACTATGGCAGGTTCGAAAAGGGCTACCTGATTTTTGTGGTCCGTTTCCTCTTCGGCCTCGTCAACCAGGAGAGGGCCTCCTATTTGGAGAAGAACCTGAGCTGCAAGATGTCCCAGCAGATCAGGGCGGAGCTGCTGAGGTGGATCGAGGCCAAGGCCAGGGCCAAGAAGCTGCAGGCGCAGCCCAGCCAGCTGGAGCTCTTCTACTGCCTCTTTGAGATGCAGGAGGAGGGCTTTGTGCGCAGGGCCATGGGCCACTTCCCCAAGATCGAGGTCAGCCTCACCACCCGCATGGACCACGTGGTGTCGTCCTTCTGCATCAGGAACTGTCCCAGCGTGCAGAGCCTTTCCCTGGGCTTTCTGCACAACTCACCTGAGGAGGAGGAGGAGGAGGAGGACGAGGAGGGGGAGGAAGGCACGGGCCCTCCGGCCAACGGAGCTCACAGGTGAGGGTGGCTCCAGGCAGGGAGGCCCTGTCCGCTGCTTTCTGGCTGCTTTTGTGGGTGTTACATCCTCTGCCCAATCTTCAACCGTCTTCCAAGCAGGGTCACCACACCCTGTGATAATGGCCCTACTGCTTGTTTCTCCCAGTTCCTTCATTGGAGAGATCAAGCTTTTGTGTCCCGCAGATAAATGGGAGGGAAAAAGCCCACGCAGGAAGATGTGCATGGGAAGCCAGGTCAGCGAGGCCCAGTGGGGTAGGGTTACCTGTGGGACTCGAAGTCTGCTGGGAGGCCCAGGTCAGCATCCTGCTCCAGCGTGGGCTGCTCTAATGGAACACAGAGGCAGGGTCTTCTAGAGGACAAGGCTGGTTTATCACAGTGATGGAGGCTACAGGGTGCAAGGCGGAGGGCCCCCTTCTCAGGAGAGACTGATGCATGGTGCCAGGGTGGAGGTGGAGGGCATGGGAGGGCGTGGGCAGGTGAGGGTGCCGGTGAGCGTGCGGTGCGAGTGGAAGATCCGTCAGTGCTGTGATAGTTCGGTGGGTGTAGTCCACCTTCTTGGCCTGAGAGTCTGGCCTTCAGCGAATGCGCCTCCAGCCCAGGTGTCTCCTGCACTGACTTCTCCGAGGCCCAGGCTGATCTGGCTGCCTGATATTTCTAACTCTGTCCCGAGACAGGACACCGTAGTCGCACACCCAGCACCGCACTGGCTGTCACACTTCCACTTCTGGGGACAGGCGTCGCCTTGGGCTGCGTCTTCTGGCCCAGCCCTTCTATTCAGCGACCCCGCCCAGGCCTCCCCCAGCCCACCTCTACCCCTGGGGGGAGCGCGCGGAGAGAGGAGGGAGGGGGACCCGCAGGGAGGACAGTGGGGTTGGAGGCACAGCACCGGGGCCAGAGCACACCCAGACCTCTGGGCAGCGGGAGGACAAGGCTGCCGCCCAGCCCTGGGAGAGCGGGGAGATCCCGACCCGCTGGGCTCACCCCTGCGCTTGCTCAGCCCATGGCCGGCTGCGGCAGGACAGCTGACCACGGGCTAGGGGCGTCCAGGAGGGGACCCTCGGGTCTGCCCGAGGCGCTGTCCGGCCTCCGCCCTCAGCCTGCTCATTTCTCCGTGACTGTCTTTGGATTCGTGGCCACTTCCTCCCTCCCATTTCTCTTTCTTTCAATACTGGGGATTGAACTCAGGACCTGCACGGGGCGCTAGTCCCCAGCCGTTGTAGAGACAGGGTCTCCCTGAGTTGCCCAGGCTGGGCTCGAACCCTGGACCCTCCTGCGTCAGCCTCCCAGCTCTGGGATCCGGGACTGGGCCAGAAGCGAGCCGTCTCTTCTCCCTGGCGGCCTTCCTGTGGGTCCGCTCCGTGCCTCAGCACGGCCTGTCCCGACTCTGCCCTTCTGCCCCTCCAGCTCGCCGAGCTGCTACCCAAGCCCAGGAGTCTGCCGGGGCCTCTTCTCGGCTCTGAGCGCCACGCCGAGCCTCTCGGAGCTGGACCTCAGTGATAACGTGCTGGGGGACCCGGGCCTGAGCGCGCTGTGCGAGGTGCTGCGGGACCCGGGCTGCGGCGTCCGGAGGCTGTGGTGAGCGCCGTGCGAGCGCGCGGGGCTGAGGCGGGCGGGGCGTCGGGCCGGGGCCGGGCCCGGGGCGCAGTCCGCGTCCCCAGCGCTGCTCTGCCCGCAGGTTGGGGCGCTGCGGCCTCTCGCGCCAGTGCTGCTCCGACCTCGCCTCTGTCCTGAGCAGCAGCCGGAAGCTGGTGGAGCTGGACCTGAGCGACAACGCCCTGGGCGACCTCGGGGCCAGCCTGCTGTGCCGGGGCCTGGCGCACCCGCTCTGCCGCCTCGCCAAGCTCTGGTGGGTCGCGGCCTCGGGCACGAGCGGGGCGCGCGGTGCTGTGGAGGGGACGGGAGGCGGCGCGGCTGGCGGGGCGGTGGGGTTTCCCAAGCAGTCTCCCGGGGCCACCCTGATCCAGCGGGCGCACAGGTAATGGGACCCAGAGCGCAGAGGAAGCCGCGCGCGCCTTCCGCAGGAGTGGGTGAGGGGCGGGTGTGCGCCTGCGCCCCCTCGGGGGCCCCGCCCCCAGGGCAGCCGGCCGACGCCTCTGGAGGGGAGTGTGGGGGACGGAGACCCCGCCTGCTAGGGCTGAGAGGAAGCCCCGCTCTCCTTCCCCTAAGATTAAAATGGTTCGGAAGCTGGACAACACTGTGAGTATCCTCAAGGCCAGGGAAATGTGCACTCCAAGAGGTTGAAATGGCACATTAAAAAAAAATTCTTTTATTCGTACCTTTTAGGTTATACAGTACGTTTACATTTGTCACTGGGTGCTGGTACCTGTACCTGATGGATCTTGGTTCTTATTTTTTTTGCCATTACCTGTGCGCCCTTCACCCCTCCACCCTTCCCTATTTACGTAGATTTAGTTTCCATTTTTTTCCTTTCCTCATAATTTTTCCTTTCCCTTCTTTCCTTTCCCCTTCCCCTCCCGCCACCCCTACCCCTTTGGAATTTTTCCTATTTCAAATTATCAGTTATTCATTTTCATCCTTTTTTGCACTTTCAGTTTCTCACAGTAGAGAAACTATTTGGTATTTACACACGTGTGTGTCCTATTCATTTCACTTAAGAGTGTGGCCTCAATATGCATCCATTTAGCTATAAATGTCTCCAGTTTCTCATTCTTTATGGCTGAGTAGTACTCCCTTTTACGAAAAACCACATCTTCTTTATCCAGTTTCCAGTTGATGGGCACTTGGGGTGCTGGAATACAGGCTTTAGCTATTACAAACTGTGCCGCTATAAACATGGGTGCACATATATTGCTGTGGTATGATTCTTTTAATTCTTTATAAATTCCTTTTTTAAACTTTTGTTTTTTGGTATTGGGGATCAAACTCGGGTCCTTGTGCTTGCAAAGCAGGCGGCAGAACCAATGAGCTAAATCCTTGGCCCCATAAATTCCTTTTTAAAAACAAAACAATAGGGTCTCACTGTGTTGCCCAGGATGGTCTCAAAGTGCCAGGGTAGCTGGGACTACAGGCATACACCACTCTACCCAGCCTAATAAATTCTTTTTTTTTGGTACCAGGAATCTAACTCAGTGCCTTGTGGTTGTCAGGCAGGTGCTCTGCTGCTGAGCTACATCCCTAACCCTTAAATTCTTTTTTTTTTTTTTTTTCCTCAAGGAGAAGGGGTTTATTTGGCTTACAGTTCTCAGAGGTTTCAGTCCATAATCACCCAACTTCAAGGCAGGGATGAAAAACAGGCATGGCAGAACAGAAACAACATGGTACACACGAGGTAGCAAAGGTAACAAGAGGGAATTACTGGTTCTCTCTGCCCCTTTTATCTTATTCAGACTACTTAGGGCACATAGCACTCACACCCTAATCCTAGTGCCCTTGAGCCTAGCACTGCATCATGAATCACTTGCAGCTTCACATACTCTCAGTCAATCCTATGACCACCTGAGGCTTTGCGGGGACATCTAGACCCAAACCCTAGCATTCCACCCCGGCCGCCCAAAGACTCTTGTACATTCCTATACACGAAAGGCATTTATTTAGTCCATCTCTAAAAGTTGTCAACGTCCTAACAGTTTCAGCACTGCTGAAAAGTCCAAGTCCCAGGTCTCCTCTGAGATTTAAGGCAAACTCTTAGCTGCAAGCCTCTGTACAAATGAAAGGAAAGTCAAACTCTTCCAGCATTCAATGGCACAAGATACACATTACCATTCCAAAAGGTACAAACAGGAGGATGCAATGGAAAGGGACCAAAGTAAGCCCAAAATCCAGTAGGGCAAACATTAAATCCCACAATTCCATTTTCAGCATCCTCAGCAATCTGTGGCAAATTGTGAACTCCAAAGGGCTTGGGTGGCTCCACCCCTGTGGCATTTCTGGTAGTTGTAGCTCCCATGGCTTCTCTCTTGGGCTGGCTCTGCTTCCTCCTTGAAGCTTTCCTCAGGTGATCCATGCCCCTGGCTTCTCCAAACTTCTGGGGTCTCCAGTGCACCTCTGGCTTCACACGCACAGCTTGACACACGGCCCTCTCAGGGGCACCCTGCCCGGCCTCCCAGGCCTCTTCTGAAACCTGGGTGGGAGCCTTCCTGACCCTACCACTCTTGCATTCTGTATGCACCTAAAAGCAGCACCACGTGGATGATGCCAAGGTCTGCTGCCAGCTGGAGTAGGAGTAGCCGGTCTTGCCTCTCTCTTGGCTGTAGGGGTCAAGTGCCTGGATTGCTGAGCACTCTGAACCCAATCCCAAGGAACAAATTCTCTAGGCTACTGCAGTTCTGGAACATGGTGTGGCTGTCGCCATTTTGGAACCTGGTTTTCTGGGGCTTATTTCTCAAAGCAAATTCCTTCACCTTTGTAAATCTGAGGCTGCATAGTGTAGAGTCCTACTGCTTCTTGTGATTCTCTAAAACCACCTTTTCTATTCTCTTGTTCCTTCTCAGTAATCAAGATCTGCTCTGCTCTATCTTTGCAGTTCACAGCTTTACTGGAGCTCCCATTCTGGCCCAACTCAAAATGTTTTAAATCATTCTGCTGGTCTCTTTGCTCTTGATTCTCCACACAGATCTGGCCAAAAGCCCCCAATAGTAGCCATGCCACTGCCTTGATATTCAACTGCCTTGAAATTTCTTCTTCAAGATTAATTAGTTCACTACCCTTAATCTCAGTCTCAGAAGTCTCTGGACAGGAACAAAATGCAGACAAACTTCCTGCCAAGCTATAACACACATCATCTGGAGTCCAACAGCCAGTACAGTCCTTCTTTCTAGCAGAAACCTTCCCAGCCTGGTCTTTATAAGCTTTCTGGTCTTCTGAGCTCTGACCAGAATCTCCCACACACCTGAAATGGCAAATTTTATCATCGGCATAATCAAAAACGATGGTGAATGTTTGAATTAAAAGTTATTATAGTAAAAGGCACATTCATACCCCCCAGTCCTCCCCCTGCTTTAACACACTCACCCCATCATCCTTGCCACTTTCTGCTGCAG